TTGTATACATACTGTACACATATATACATTTTATTAGACAGAGACTTAATACGAAAGCACTATTACAAAAATCAGCGAAAATCTTAAGCACTTATTATTTTAATAAATATTATTTTAATATTTGTTCTTCCTTGATATAGATTTGAATAATTACAAGTATTTTTCTAAATGGACAAAAGTTTAATATATATAATAATTTAATTATAAGACGCGTATGATGATAATTGAAACTTTTTAAGAGTGACGACAACATACAACACAAATTTCATTCAGCAATGGAAACTTCGTATTCTCTTCCCTTTCTATAGGATCTTCTTCCCGCTTCCTTCTCGGCTCAATTTCCTGTACAGCCCATCAGCTGTTACCCTCGTCGAACTTCCTTCGTGGTGGGAATGTTCGTATCGACGTCAACAAGATGGATGCTCACAAACATTGATCGACATTGATCGTTTAAGCACGAAATCTCGCTAACCATTATCTTGACGTTCTATGAACATTATCTTGACGTTCTATGAAATTTCATGAGAACGCAGGCAAAAAATAGATGCGCTATCTCCGTAGGTTCATAGTGTTTAATTTAAGAGCACCGGAATTTTATCATGGGGCCAAGGTGTATTAAGGTAATTTTTTTGTACGTGTACTCTTTCATGAGCGCATGATAAGTACGTATAGTAATATAATGGATAAGTATGCTCGAACGCTTGGCTTCGAGTCGGAGCGAGAGTCGACGACAACGACGACGATGAAGAGGGTGAACTCAGCTCGGCCGTTTTATCGTGGCTCGCCGCTGAGCAAGCAGGGAACTCCATCTCTCACGCAACTTCAGGATTTGATGCATGTGCCGCCGGAACATTTGTTCGATCCCCCTCGAGTTCTTCCCTCCTCTCGACTCTTGGGCCGTCTACCCTCCGGGAAGCGGTAGGTCTTGTCTCTCTCTTTGGTGTCTTTCTCTTCCTCGAATGTCTTCCTCCATCGCGTCCGCTCCCTTCACCCGCGCGTAGCCCGCGCCACAGCCTTTGCCGACGGAGAGGGTATTGGCCGTCTCCACGGTGTAGGCAGGTTTATTTTTATTCCATACGATTCATTCGATTGAACATGACTTGTGGTTACAGCCTGGACGATATATTTCCGATATTACGGGACGACATTCCGACTCCCGTGGTCCCGCGAGTCTCTTGTATTCTTTGCCCATATCGCTCGCCCAACCCCGCGCGTCGCCCGCCGTTCGGCGGGGTAAAATACGTACGATCCTCTCTAGAATAATAGTAGCTTCCGGGGAATTCATGGTTGTTCCCGCCCGCTTTCTCGCGGCGCGGGTAAGGGAACGGGCATACGGTCGTTACAACTGGTTCGATTTCGGAAATTAGCCCCCAGTATTTCCTGCAGCTCTTGGAAACCCTTTGTCAAGTAAGGATCGTCCGGACATTGCCACACGGTGATCCGTTAAGCCACATACGAAATGCACTGGGAGATTCTTGTAACTCGTCTTAATTGCGGCCACGAATAATTGCGACCGTAAAGGAGCGAATCAATTTTCGAACGATAGGCGATACAGTTTCTCAATTCGAAAATAACGCGATCTATCCAAAAATAGTTTTGATATTAGTCATTAGTTTATCTAGCATTCTGATTAGGTTGAATATTAGTTATCAAAATGTTATCATATATGAATCTATATATCGTGTAATTAATTTTTAGTACACATGATGATTTTCCGGATTTTTACTACACGCGATAGGTTGTTAGTGCATGGAAAAAATGATTTTACGGAACTATTTGATTTAACTAGATACAGGTCTAAAATTAATTTTATTGGACCATCAAAATATTTGTGTAAAAAGCTCGAGCATGATGAGCAATGCTGCAAAATATTTTGATATTTAGCAATCAACTTGAGCGTTGTATATAGTTATTTTGATGGTCCAATAAAATTTATTTTTAAATCTGTATTCAGTTAAATTTTTAGATATTTCAGTAAAATTGTTGTTTCTATGTTTCAAAATTAATTTTCATCACTTTTACAAAAATTGTTAAGTGATTCTTAACATATTTAAAATTTTAGAAAGTAGAGCTGTAAGGTTATATATTTTTGAAAAAAATTATATGTAAATGTTATAACTAATTTCTCGGTGCATGTAGTATTTCAAAGAAAAAAAATGCGCCGGACACAAATAATTCAATCGTGTATATCAAATATTAGGATTGACATCGTGGAGGCGTAAACGTAATAATTAAATATTATATTTATAGTACGCAACTACTCGAAAATATCTAACTTAACAAATCCAGCGACAGCTGCGAAGGCCATTTAAAGAAGTTAAAGTCTCGTTCAATGTTTGTCACCGCAAAGAGCCGTGACGACGCGATGCTATTATTGCGGAAACAGCGGACGCGTTCACTGCAAAATGCGAGTTGTAATAATTACACGGCAACGTTAATTCGTTTCCCTTCTCGCGCGAATAATTTTCTACGTAAATACGTGTATGCATAATGGCGTATCTCCTACCCCCGCCGCGACCTTCTAATTAACACGTTACACTGTCCTAACGCGTCGCTTCGCACGAAATCGATACAGCGCGGCATTAATTATTGCTTTACGATGGTCCTTGATTAAATCACGATATCGCTGGTTATGTCAACTCGGATGTCGTAACCAATAGTAACCATCCGGTAAACACTTTGTCGCCTGGTCGAGGAAAATTCAGTTTGCCATCCGCGCATTAACACCATTTTGTAATACTATCGCTATCGGGACATTGTGCGACTAACGATACTGTTGTAATTACGTGGGCTACGACATAACTAGGTACTCAGTAACGATCTCAACGACATTAATACCTTTTATTGGTTTCCCTGTATTTTCGCAAATATGTGCACATCGTTTACCATTAATTTAAATGAGAGGTTCACCTTGAATAACACAAGCATGAAATTATTAAATATTTTTTTAGCAGAGGAAAAATTGAAAAGGGGAAAACGTGATACGAAGTCAAAAGATAAAAGTAATAATTTGAAGCGATCAGGTCGAAAGTTTTTCTCTTTTTATACAAAATATAACATTTTGCAATTAGCAATAAAAATAAAATGATTGCTCTCTAAATCTGAATCAGTGGATAGTCACTAATTACCCAGTGGCATACTTGGCACTGATAATCAGTGAAATTCAACCAAAAAAGAAAGAATATTTGAGCATTATATGACTAAAATACTGATATTTAGATGTTAATTTCAATCTTCCAATACCATATTCATTGAATTTAACCACTAAAACAAGATTAGTTAGATCACATAATAAAGATTAGCTATATTAGGAATCTCACATTTAATTCACTGATTATCAGTGGCATACTTAGCACTGATATCAGTGATTATCCACTGATTCAGATTTAGAGAGTGGATTATCTCATTAGGATTTATTTTTATACATATACAGAAAGGATGCTTTTACTTAAATATATCTAAACATTTTGACAGATACAGATTTGAGAATAATTTTATTGGACCATCAAAATATAATAGTTAGTACACTCAAACTGGTTGCTAGAATGTCAAAACTTGTTTTTGCAGCATTGCTCATTATGTTTGAGTTTCCTATGTACTTATTTTGATGATCCAACAAAATTTTTTTCAGATCTGTATCTAGCTGAATTTTTAAATATTTTTGCAAAATCGTTCTTTTCGTGCATTTTTTTAAATGAACGTTTTAATAAACATACGTAGTTTAATATGTATGATTAAAACATTTTTATTTATACATATTTACAAATGTTGAAAATATCTTGCAAAAATAGTCAATTTTAGTTAATGTCTATTTAATTTTCAGTACGTCATAGTTAATTTTTGAAAGCCTAACGTAATAATTGTTCAGTTGAAAGCTTCATAATTCGTTTCAACTATCGCTTGCGTCGTAAAGGTTGATAATTAGGCGATGCTATGACAGTGCTAATAAATGGATGCGTTCACTCTAATACAATATATCAACATTGTGAGGGGGCGGCCGGATAACTAACGGTACACCTGAATTATCCGTTAATGAATAGCGATGTTGTGGGCAACTCAGATTTATTCGATTATTTGCGAGATTGGTAGTAGTTTGTGGCACGGCTACTCAAATTGAGAATTTCAGAAAGGTCTTCACGCGCATCGGTCATTAAATGGCAACTATATAAAGCTCTCTGCGTTTAAGCCGGTTTAATTCGCGAATATGGTCACAGCTGTTAAACAATGATAAAAAGCCAACACGGCTAAGTAAATTGTAACAATCGTTCAAAAAAAATGAAACAATCACGAAAACAGAATCACGAAATTGATAAATTTTCTAATTTGTCATTACAGAGAAAATTGAAAGAGTAACGCATGCACAAGTAAATCATGAAATAATATAATCTTGTTACTCCAAATTGGAACAAAGAAGCTGCTTCCTTCCAATTAATTTTAACTCGAGCCTCTGACTTTGTATGTCTTTTGTATAAACCGTGTAAAATCCACAAAATAAAAATATTCGCAAATACCGAGAGCAATTAGAAATTTTATTCTGTTAAATTTAAGCCTCTGGTATTCCAGTATTGAAATATCCAACTAAACCTTTTTTACCTTCACTACCGCGCCAAATGTAATATCGTCGATTCTGTTTGTTCAAGAATTGGAATACAAAATAATCGAGATATAAATTTTCATTTACGTTTGTCCATTCTTGATCAGTCACATTCTAAAATTTTGATCAAATGAACAATATGGTTTTAAAACGTATCAGTAAAATCGGTTAATTTAAATTGCAAAAGGATAATTTTTCATTTTAATATACTCGAAATCAAACGAGAGTTTGAAATAAATAAATAAATAAATAAATAAATAGAAATTGATAAATAATTATTGTGCGTGATAATCGAAAAATATTTGCCTTTGCCATCAGTTATCGTGTTATGCATTAAGTCTGTATAATATTCCATTACTGCTTTAAATAATCTACTCTTTAATAATTTATTCTATCCATGTTGTAGAGCAAGGACAAAACACAAGCAAGAAGAAGACAACGTTTTCGAGGTTACTAAGAGGGCTGAAGACGCACAGAAAAGAGAAACAAGGCCAAGTACAAGGCTCTCCCAGACACGGTCGCGCAAGAATGGGCGTTCCTCAAAGAGTAAGTGTGTGTGTGTGTGCACGCTCACATAATATTAAAAATTATATTTGAAAAGATAACGATGAGATATCTTTCTCGTCGGGCCGATCGATTCATGCTAAATTGAATTCAGTATGAATTTATAAAAAGCACGAACTTCTGTAATATCGCGCTCAACGAGACCGGAATAATGCACAGAGTGCACGAGTTTCGAAATTTCCCAGAGCTCTCTATTAATTTTATTAGCGCTTTCGTCATATCAGATATATGGTAGATAAGGTGAAATTGCTTATCGTTGCGCTCGATTTAATCATCATGCGCGTATCGTCTCAAAGAATCAGGTTTCGTCGCGTAAGGATAACTTTTTTCAGAAGCGAACGCGCGAATGACGTTTAATTCCATTTCGCAGATCCGCGGTCGTAAACGCATCCGCGTAAGCCGTAAATCAATGTCGTGTAATTGCGTGACCGTACGACGTTATCGTGTGCGTGAAGCTTCTGCGTGAGAGATCCTGACGACTAAATATTAAACCTCGTGCAAGCTTCTCGACAAAAGTACGCGCAACGTAATTTCCATCGCCGTTGCTGGGGCTCGCTTTTATTAAGCATGTCCAATCAACAACGAACTGCCGACACACGAATGACGGAACTCAAAAGAATTCTTGTTCATCTAGTATGCATGACTGTTTTTTTCGTGAAAAGCATCTCTTGTCATTCTGAAAAAGTCATCGTCCGACAAGGTGTTACTCATTTTTCATGTGAATCGTGCTGTCCGACGGTGAAATGCAAGCTCAGCTTTAATACGTGCGTTAACGGCAACTTGTTTTTTCACTATTAAGCTGACCTGTGAATTATACTGCATAGCGCATACATCCAATGAAACAAACTTTTTTCTGAATCAGGAATATCTTTACGTTATTTAATATAATATTTAAAATCAAGGTTTAAAAATTACTCTCAAGATTTAGATTAATTTTTAATGTTCCTAAGAATTTAAAAATTATTTGAATGTTGATTTTTTCTCACATTTACTGGCAGAAAAAAAATTGCGAGATGAAAATGTATTTGGGCTGCTGCTAGAGTTTTGCTTTAATTTCTTCAACTGAATAAATAGAACAAAAAAATGATAAGAAAACCAATTTGTTGATTTACTGGTAACGCGAATTGACTTCTATTTCTATTCTATATTTTGTATAGATTAATTGTACACATATTTCAAGATCTAATGATTTAAATCATTAACATAAAATTGATAAGTGATTCGCAATTGTATTCTCTTAGAAATATAAATTAATATATTAGATGCATAATATATGTATTAGAAGGTACATTATATTTAAATTATATTTAAAGCGAGTATTGATCGAAACAATTTCGAAGAATTTTACAAATTTATTCAACATTATACCTGCGAATTTATAAATCGCGACAACTTTATCTCTATACATTATTAATTCAAAAATTTATTTTATCATATTTAGCATTTTATCTTATTTTTATTTGCCAAGAAATATTTATTGTCTGCATTAATCCGAACAATGAAGATCGCGATCTACAACCACAGCCCGTTTATTTTCGTGGTGCGCTCTTGTATTTCACTCAACAAAATATTTTCCACTGAATTCGGCGAAAATATATCCAATTAAAAAAAAGCTGCCGTTAATCGTTTTGTGGCGTGCGGCACGCGTGATCCTACACGATGTAACAATTATCGATTTATCGTGTTCACGATGATAGAGCACCTCCTCTATTTTCTCTTCCTCATTGATCCATACTCGATAACAGCGGTTGCGATGCTATAAATCGCAAATTAAAAAATATTGAAATAAAAATATTGAATAAAAATCAGTCGTATACATTTCTCTAAACAATTATTCAATTAGAGAAGAATGGCTTTCCATGTTTCCATCTAGAATTCTTGTTTATCGTAAATCTGTTATACGATCGATAGTACAGCCTTGTTAGGAAATTGTTACAATAAACCGCGATTGTTACTATAAGGGGTCTATTTGGTGGATTGTTGTGAATGGTTCAAATAGCTTGTGTCGAGTAACACCAATTACTACATATGTTATTGTAATATCATTATCTTCAATAATCTATTTCTGCTTCGCAATCTATATAGGTGACCAAAATAATTACGTTCACGCCACGTGTTAATCTTTCATTCCTACAGTGGATCAAGATATTATTTAATAGCAATTACGTGTACGTACTGCAAGTACCAGAATTTAAATTGATTGCGAGTCTAGAGAATGGAAATAACGTGCCGTGGCAAATTCTATACATTTCCGACGTGAAAAGAAAGAAGAGCATGCGCATTTGTAAGTGCTACTGAAGAAGTAAAGACACCTAAGATTTCCCATGTGTCGTCAATTTGTTAACCTGTGTCGACAACTTCGCGTCCCACGCGGCCCGCCGTCGTGGGCGCATCTAATTTTATCCGTAGATTAGTCGCCCGATATATACATGTATATGTACCCAAGATATCGTGAAATAAGCTTGGGGACTGCAGTTTGTATCGTTCCTAGTGAAATTTCAGCCCGGTGATCATTTACGCCGGCTTATGGTATTACTTTTGTGCAGCTTGCTGCATCGCGACACGATTAGTATAATCAAATTATAGTTACCCTTATCGATCCTGGAACTCACGGGCCATCTCGATAGCGGAAACGTGAAACAACGGAAGTGAATATTTATTACGTTACAATTTGTGCGTGGGTGAAATTTCGATTTAAATGCAGGTAAAATGTCGCGAAGCAATCATTTTCGCATTAATTTCATACGACTTTTATAGAACGGTCATTATTATCAGCATTATCTGCTTTGGATTGAAAGCAGAAATTTGAGGAAAAAGGTCACAGTTGAATATTTTAAATTGGCAAATAATCGAAATTACTGTTTCCACATACGTTGATAAATCAAAATCGGTGTATAGTTTTTTTTCTATGGTTTTTTCAAAAGTTCACATGTAAATTTCAATGTAATATCTCGTATTATACTTATACATTACGCGTGTTTCCTGGAACGCGTGATTTCTGTAAATAAATCTCGTGGGTAAACAAAGCTTAAAATTATAAACCGGTGGCTAGTATCGGATGAAAAGTTTCCTGTAAATGAACATTTCCCGGAGGCATGCATACTGACACACGCCGGTAACGTCGCTTTCGTGTATTAACGGCAAACAAGCCGAGGTTGAGTTGCTCTTGATCTCTGTATGCGTATTCCGTCCGCGTGCACGGGCCGCATCAATGTGTGTGCACGCGCTTGCACCCGTGCATAATGCGGGCAGCCGGTGATCCTGCAAGTGCCAGCAATGAGATTCCCACGCTTGGTTTAAAATATATACACGTGTTGTATGTGCGTTCTTGTGTGTATTGTACGCGCGCGCGCGTGTGTGTGTGCGTGTCCACTACTGTGGCAATATCCGAATTTAGAACGTAAATGCATCTTCGAACAGAGAACGTTAACTCGTTGACCCGCGTAGGTAAATTTATGCGTATGCAATTCGGAAAAATGTGTTTGCATTACGCCCGGTGATAAAATGAACGGCGTATTTTTCAGCGACGCTATGGACCCGTATGGATACATGAATCAGGGAGGAAATCGATTTTATCTTCTTCGCCCATGTGCGCAAGTAGAAGAGAAACGTGACGAGAAATTTGCGAAGTTTTCACAATATCGTATGAAAACGTTACTGTTTATTATGCAAACACGAAAGTTGCCGAAACAAATAATGGCGAAATTTAATTAGATTTTCCCGTCTTTTTCAAATTTTTCATCACGATTCTTTCAATTATAACAAACGGTTGAATGCATAAGTGATTTCGAAATTAAATCTTGAGAAATTGCTGACAGAACCAGTTTTCTATCGCAACTTTCCGCAGCTTTCCGTGCATTTCTAGAAATATTTTCGTAACCTGACATTTTCTTAACCAAGTATAAATACAGATGGATGCTTAACGTGCAAATGCTTTCCGTACCTCTTTAATTGATCGCGTGAATAGTTTTAGATTAAATACGGTCAGCTTTAATAAAATAATTTATATACAGATACATAAAACAAAGTGAACAAAATCATACGTAATTAAATATAAATAAATCCGGAAAAATTTAAATGAGCATTTTAAAAGCTATCACTTTTATAAATTTGTATACTATTTATATAAAATTCAGTAATTTACATGAAGACATGGCATAAATACCGCTTAATGAATTTGCTCATAGTTTACATTAAAAAATGTATACATTCAGTGCTCTGCTAATTTAAATTTTTTAACAATTGAGCAAAAACATTCTACTTTTTTTTATTTTTTGGTTTTAATTTGTGATTTAGACTTAATTTTACTTAATCTGATAATAATGTAAAAATGATACTTCCCTAGTTATCTTTATAATCAGTTTTGTTTAATCTTCAAAAAATTATTCTAAAATCACATCAGTTTAGTAATTAAACGTAGCTAGAAGAATAGAATTTTTACGTTATCATCAGATTAAGTTTAATCATAAATTAACAGGAAAATGAAAACCGAGCTTTACTCTGTCATACATTTATTTCTACATTTTTTCTAAATATTCCCTGCGCACGATCAACAACTGTAAAACTTGAACAAACTACTTAAGTTTTGTAGCCTTATCGTAGAGCAATTTCAGCGATAAAGATTAAACATCTAAAGATTAATAAAAGGTTTTTATTCACGTTATTAAGTTCAAGACTACCGACTTTACCTCTTTTTTATTCATAATCGTAGTACAACGGATATGTCGCGCGAATGAACGTATGCAACCTGCGCGCCTACAGAATTCGTATCTGAAAAAGTCAGAACGTCGATAGTACTTAGAATGAAATTTTCTCTCAAGAGTCCTTAGTCCAGCCTCTGAGCCGCTCACTCTCAAGGAGCAACGATCTCCTCGGAGTCACGTTATTCCTCCTCGCGGCCGGGCTAGGCCGCAGGACTAGACCGCGCCGCGAGTCGATGCACTTGAAGACGAAAGAACGACGAACAGCGGTGAGACGAACCG